GTAGTTCTTACGGTTCAAGTCTGGTCAGCTACCAAGGATTAAGCTCCAGAAATTATGGTGACAGCTTTACCTAAATTAAGATGTCTACTTCTACCTGGAGTAACTTTGTTCAGAAGCCCCACGAAGAAACTTCTTTCACGAATAAACTATTAATTTCTGGCATACCTATTAACAGAATTACCAGGCCAGTAATTTGAAGGCCAAATATAAAGCCAACCCAGAACCATTTCAACTTGAACTCTAATTTAAGATAGCACGTGCAAGGAACATATCTGAGAAAACGGATCCGAATAATTGCACAACTACGGGATCTAGACAACCAGAGAATGAATGCATATTTAGAGAACTGACGTATCTAGTATTCTAACGATTAATCCTCATAAGATCCATTAACAGATCGATCAATCAGCTACGTAACAGCCAAATAGCTTACGTATAGGAGAAAGAAAAGGAAAACATTTGAACCGCATGAAAGATCCTTATCTGAAAAGTATTTCCAAAGCGCTTCATTTAGTCAACTAAATCACACTTGCTAGAGATGTTCACCCATGTTTACTAATACCAGATTGCTGAACTCAGTGTGCTATATTCCTAAGATGAATGAATTGCCTCTCTAATTTTCAAATTTTAACGCGTCCAGACAATAAGACGTACTCCTTTTCATTCTAAACTGATTGAGACCTTCTTTCCTCTATGAACAATTTATAAAACTATCACTCAGTAAGTCGTCCTAAAGCACAAGAGCCCCCTCTGCTCCTTCCCAACCTCTACCATTCAGAAAACAGAGAGCAAATAAAAGTATCAGGAATATATTCCTTCATGGTGGAAAATCTAACTAATGTGCTGCATATTGTTGTTTTGTTTATGTCAGATGAAGTAGACTTATAAGGACAATAAGGTCAAAAAGCTTCCAAACACATCTTAGCCTATCTTCTAACATATTATAACAGAAGCAATAAACTCCAAATAAGGAGCAAGGATCTTTATCCTCTAACTAACTGAACAAATATGGGTAAGATTGTTCACCTGGATGACATATACGACACCGTTTATTGTGTAAAAACTAGGCCTCAGCCCATCAGTAGATACAGCACGAGCCTGCTCAAATCGTACAAAGTAAATCAGTCACCACCTTGAAAACCTACAGCAAAACAAATCCTAACAAAAAGACTTTGGACCAACCTGGTAATAAATTTCTGCCCAGAACAACACCAGCAACGCATACGTAGTGAAAAATGCAAGACTTGGCATATCAAGCAATATGTGTTGAACAATCTACCAAAATGCAATACTATTATCAGGATATATTAGTTATGAGATTTCAGAAAAAATGGCAATCGCATGAATTAAAGTTGATACCTCAGGATTCAACTTCTGAACGTCTCGACGGAATGCAAATACCACACAAAGAACTAAACAAGCAATAAAAC